AGCTCGTCCCCACGCTCCCCTTCCCCAACACCTCCGCCGACGCCCTCAGCAGGTCCTCCAGATCGAATCTGTAACCCCCTCCCCCTCCGTTCACAAACACCAGCTTGTTCCTCTCCCCTTCCGCCGATCCCCCCGTCACGTCCTCCTTCGAGGCCGACGCCCCTGCGGATTCTCCCGCCCCTGCCCCGGCAGGTACTGCCTTCCGGGGTTCTGCCTCCCTCCTCCTCTTCCTCGAGAGGCAGAGGATGAGGGCCAGTGCCAGGAGGATCGCTGCCAGTGCCGAGCCCACTGCGATTCCGGCAATGGCGCCTCCGGAGAGCTTCTTGGACTTTCTGTGGCGGGGCGGGCTGATCTGGGCCGACGGGGAAGGTGACGGAGATGGGAAGAATGGGTTGCACGGGGGCAATGGGGCGCCGCATAGATCGATGTTCCCCGCGAAGGATGGCGCCGGGAATTTGGAGAGTCTCGCCGGAATTGACCCGTTGAGGCGATTGTCGGAGACATTGAAATCGGTTAGGCTGGGAAGATTGATGCCGGGTAGGGTCCCGTTGAACCCGTTCTTCTGCAGGTAGAGCCGGCTCAATGAGGTCAATTTGTTGACCGAAAACGGGATTGGGCCGGTGAATTTGTTGGAGGAGAGGTCCAGGCGGCTCAGCCGCGTCAGCTCGGTCAGACTAGATGGAAACCCGCCGGAGAACTGGTTGTTCTGGAGATAGAGGCTGCGGAGGAACTTGAGATTGGCGAAGTCGGGAGGGACCGAACCCGTGAGCCGATTCGACCGGAGACTCAGCACTCGGAGCTGGGTCAGCCTCCCAATCGTGTTCGCCGGAATATTCCCGACGAGCCCAACTCCGGGCAAGCGCAGATAGTACACAGACGACCGGTTCGCATCGCACCCGACGCCCACCCAATTGCAGGCAGAGGTGGACTCGTTCCAGTCGACCCTGGTCTCGTGTGGGGTTCTGGACAAGAAATCAATGAGAGCTTGCTTCTCCTGAGTCGACTCCGAGTTGACCCCGCAGCGACCCAGTTGGGACACGACCAAAGCAACAAAGAAAGCAACAGAAGAAACAACAAATCCAGAGCTTAATACCACCCTCGTCATCACGAGTCTCTCACCCGAGCCCATGAAAGTGAAATGCGAAGTAATTAATTGAGACCTTTATGATCTACTCCTATACATATCTGAAACATCAAAACCGAGTCCACGGCGAGTTGCCATGGGAGGGAGGAGCTAGTTTTAGAAAGAAAGAGAAAGCGAAACGTTTGTGAGTATATATTTACAGCAGCAGAGAGAGAGAGAGAGAGAGAGAGAGAGAGAGAGAGAGAGAGATTGGGGAAGGGGAGACGAACTGTATCTTTACGCTCTTTATTGTGTGGTTGGGCCGGGGGGAGAACCATAGGAACGTTTTATTGGGTGTGTTTGACGGCATTTTTAACTTTAACTACTTGTACCTCACTTCATTTCTTCCAACTCAAACATTTGAACCCTCCAATCTCGTCATTGTCATTTTTTTTTACTAAGTTTTTGGTTCTCCCACAACAAAAGGCCTCAACAAAAGGACTCTTTCAAAATTCAAAATTGGTTTGAAATCTCAGAGTTTCAACATTCTTTTTTTTATCATATCACCTTTAACAACTCCTTAATTTATCCTAGAGTTTTATTGGAAATACCGGGCTTCAAATCAAAGTTTTAAAAGAGAAAAGACCAAAGTAGGACTAAAACATTAAAAATATATCAAAATAAGATTTTCATATTTTTATTTCTGAAATATGACTTAAAATGCATTTACATTACCAAACATTGTCATTTACATTACCAAAAAGTATAGTGATATGCACATGTATAGTGCCACGTTACAACACATTGCCACAATGTGAACTCCTATCTCGAGAGAAAAACATGAAAATCTTATTTTGGTACTTTTCTCTATGTTTTAGTCCTATTTAAGACGATTTCTAAAGTTTTAAACCTTTCTTTTTTAATATATATTTTATGAAAGTAAATTAATAAGATTTCATTAATTAATTAAATTTAACCCGCAATAATTCATTAAATAAAAAGTAAATTCAATAAAAAGGCACACTAAATTTAAAAAAAGTATATAAATAAAAAATTTAAACCATATTATATTTAGGGGGTGTATTCAAACATGATTCTATAGTTTTTATTTAGATTCTTAAAATTTGTAGGTATTCAGAATTAAAAAAGCTATTTAAAATATGGATGTATTCAATTCAAATTTTAAAAAATCTCTCTAAATCTAATGGTATTAAAAATTGATAGATTTTTTAAGATTTTAAAAAATATAGATTTTGATGCCTTGCATATAAATACAAATTTACCCTCAAAATCTCACGCAAAAGGTAAAGATTTTGACAACTCCATCAACTCCTTCATTGTCTCTTGCTCACCTAAATCTCCTTCATCGTCTCCTTCAATCTTCTCAAGCTTCATGGTATATTTTTTTCACTCATCTCGTTTGTCCTACTTTTGAATCTTCTCAGGCTTTTGATAATTTGTTTTTATTTATTTATATACAACGTTACTTGAATTTGTTTATTTTTTTGAACTGTAATTAGTAATTGCTTGTATTTATTCTTTTTGTAATTATTGGAATTGTCAAAGTGACTTCATCTTACCCAAGTGTTTGTACAAATATATAGAACTAGAATGAGTAAATTACATATAAAACCCAAAACTAATACTCCCTCCGTCCCAAAAAGATTTACACGTTTTGACTAAAGTTGAAATTAAGGGATGGATAATTTTGTGTTGACTTTCCAAAAATACCCTTGATGTGATGGGTAAAAGTAGGATGTGATGTGTAGATTATTAGGAAAAATGTATGATGTGATAGGTAGGGTTTGAAAAAGTAAGGGGTAAAAGTGGTTTTTTAAAAGAAATGGGTATGAGATTGTGGGACGCAAATTTTTTGAAAGGTGTAAATTTTTTTGGGACGGAGGGAGTATAAATTATGGATTATGGCTAACATCCCCCTCAAGCTGAGTCTAGCGGAAGCAAGAGGAAGCTTAGATATTAACAACTGAAAGCGTTGAGAAGTCAATGGCTTTGTCAAAAAATCGGCGAGCTGGTCCTCGGAAGAAACGTGTTGAGTCGTCATGGCACCATCGATAACTTGTTCCCGAACAAAGTGACAATCTATGCCAACGTGTTTCGTCCGCTTGCGAAACACTGGATTCTTAGTGAGACATATAGCAGACTGATTATCACAAAGAAGAATGGGTGGTGGTGTAGCTACATGAAGATCAGTCAAAATATATGTCAGCCACATGACCTCGGATGCGGCTGCGGATAGTGCCCTATATTCGGCCTCGGTAGAAGATTTGGAGACACGAGTCTGCTTTTCTGTGCTCCAGGAGACCAGATCATCACCAAGATAGATAAGATAGCCTGTCGTAGAGCGACTCTCTATAGGGTCATTTGCCCAATCAGAATCTGAGTATCCACGTAGGCGAAGATCCCCACCGTGAAAAACAATGCCCGTGGTACACGTACCCTTAACGTATCGGAGGATACGTTTAAGAGTGTGGAAGTCTTGTTCAGTCGGATTGTGCATTTTCTGAGCCACAAAATTAACTGCAAATTGAATATCTGGGCGTGTCACCGTGAGATACTGAAGACCACCAACAAGACTCCGGAAAAAAATGCGGGTTGGCAAACGGAACATCCGCACCATTAGTCGACGAACTAGGACTGATTAGAGTAAGCGCAGGGATGCAGGTATCCACACCCGCACGGTGAATAAGTTCATGTGCATATTTAGTCCGATGGAGAAAAAGTTGATCAGAGGTGCACTCAACCTCAAGACCCAAGAAATACTTGAGAGGGCCAAGGTCCTTCATCTAAAATTCCTGGTGAAGACTATTGATAAGGGACTAAATAAGAGCAGGAGAGGAGCCAGTGACCACAATATCATCCACATATAATAAAAGAATGAGAGTGCCTTGCGAAGTGTGCTTGATAAAAAAAACTAGTATCATAAGTGCTAGGGAAACATCCTTGAGCAGCCAGGAAAGAAGATAAGCGAAGATACCATTCCCGTGGGGGTTAAGGAGCAAAATAGGAGTAAAACATTGATTAAATACGAAAATAGGAGTTAAAAGATAAAACCTCCAAAATAAGAGTACCCTCTTCTCCACTCAATTTATCATGCCATGCTCAATTGTGTCATGCCAATGTTGCTCAACCGCACAAAATTTCCATCAATGGATGCTCAATTGTGCCATGCCGCCGTCGGCAACGCCGACACCCCAACCGCTGCCACGCCCCTACCACCGCTGATATCACGCCTCTACCACCGCTGACACAATGCCTCTGTCATTATTGATGTCGATATCCCTTTAATCTCCGTCACTGCCACCATCAGTCGCTTCAAACTGCACCATTTGAATCTCAGCCTCCGTTGTGCCCTGCTCCGCCGTATATGGTTCTGATTTTTAATTAGCTTCCAAATGCTTTATAAATGAGACTGCATCGTAGAAGTAAGAAATGCTTCTAACTAATTGCATTCATCCTTTTTTTTCCTATGAAAAAATGCATCTTCATTAGACATTAATTTTGGGTTGGTTTTGTCTTTTTCATTTTTGTATTTGATTATTTTTCTTTTAATTTTTTTGTTTGGTTGTTTTTCTATTAGTTGTGTTTAAATTTTGCTCCCAATTTTAGCAAAATTTAGTGATAGTGATAAGAAACTTGATATTCTATGTTGGCAATCTTGACATTTCACTTTCTTTTTGACATTTTATATTGACATGTTTGGCATTACGCAATAACATGTTTGGCATTATGCAATGACATGATTGTCAGTATGCATTATAATATTTGACATTGTGACTTTGGTTGACATGATATTGAAAGTTTTTCCCTTGGCAATGACACCATTATAATGCCAACCGAAGCCACAATGTCAAAGATAACAATGCATACAGATAAACATGTCAATGCATATATAATGTCAAATATGTAAGTGTATAATTTCACATTACCAAATCACTAATCAAGTAGTATTGAAGCAGAAATCGGCCAGCATACTCGAGACTTCCTCGGTCTGAGGACTAAACCCAGACGAACAAACCCTCATTGATGAAATCAATTGAACTCTCACTTCCGATTTCCCAATTCAACAAACAACAAATCTCAACAACTTGATCAGGAAGAAATCAAATCATATCAAAGCAATTGCAAAGCCAGTTGAGCAATATAACCCCACACTCCTCGCCCAAAGCAGCGAGCTCAAAGAGTAGAAACACAATAGAGTATTATTCATATAAATCAAAAGCACTTCTAGAATGCTTCACTATATGTGCTTCAGACACCTTAAGATCAATAGAATTGGACAATAGTTCAAAAAAAATATGCCGTGAGGAGCAACAGTGGAGGCGCATAAGGCTAGTTTGAATCCTCCGAAGAAGATGAGGAGACCGTACAATGTGCTAAGGGCGGCGTGCGTAGATCTCTATTTTTAGTTTTCATTTTATTTTTAATTTTACTCCTATTTTGGGTATATAAGTTTGAGACTCCTACTTTGAATATATGACTAATGATTTACTTCTATTTGGGAGGTTTTCTTTTCCCGTGGAGCCTGCTTAAGCCCATAGAGAGCTTTGTGTAACTTGCAAACATGCTGAGGAAACCTCTGATCAATATATCCTGGAGGCTGTGTCATATAAACAATATCCTGTAACTCACTATGTAAAAAGGTATTAGAAACATCAAGTTGGTGAAGGGGCCAGTTGTAGCGCATAGCCAAAGATAATATAACACGAATGGTTTGTTGCTTAACAACTGGACTAAAGGTCTCAGAGTAATCAAGGCCATATTCTTGATCATAACCCTTCGCCACAAGTCGTGCCTTATACCGTGACACTGATCCATCAGAGTTACGTTTTATGCGGTAAATCCACTTACACCCAATGGGATGCTCCGATACCATATTGGAATTGTCAAAGTGACTTCATCTTACCCAAGTGTTTGTACAAATATATAGAACTAGAATGATGCTCCGATACCATATTGGAATTGTCAAAGTGACTTCATCTTACCCAAGTGTTTGTACAAATATATAGAACTAGAATGAGTAAATTACATATAAAACCCAAAACTAATATAAATTATGGATTATGGCTAACAGTAATGTAATTAGTAATTTTTTGTAATGTAATGTAATTAGTAATTACTTTTAAATAGTAATTAGTAGTTTTGTTACACTATTTTTTAAGTAAAATAACACTAACTATTATTTAAAATAAAACTTATTACTATTTTATTAAAAATAATTACTAGTACTTTTACTACTCTATTTTTTTATCATTCCATGTTGTCTTTCGCATTAGTCACTTAGTGGTCACCGAAAGCCGTCATTGATACTGGGTAATTTAGAAAATGAGAGGACTTGGGGTTAGAATAAGACGAGTAAATGCCTGAAGATTTTTTTTATACATAATGTAAAACGATAAAAATGATGTTAAATTTCCTATTAATATAATGAATTAAGACATATAATTTATAACCAAGGGAATAAATAATCTTTTTGATAAACTATACATAAGTATATTAATAAAATTAATTTTTAATTAAAGCTTTAAAATATTTTAACCTTTTTTATGCAAGTGGAAATTGGAAATTGGGAAAGATCAATGTGGGCATACAATTGTTTTTAATGGGGTTTTAAGTTTATTTTGCTAAAAAAGTTAGAGTAGTAAAACTAATAACTAAGTAAAATGATAAAAATAAATAATCATAATGATTATAAAATATAATAAAATAATAGAATAACTAATAATAAAATAATAATAAAATAATAATAATAATAATAATAATAATAATAATAATAACAGGAAAGAAAAAAGGATCATGCTACACACCCCCCACCATTGCTACCAACCTTGCCTCCACTCATTTCTCCACCACATATTTATCTCTACTCATTCTCCACCCACCCTCTAATTTTAATTTTCTTGCCTCCCTACCACATGTTTATGTAGGGGGCATGAGTGGTAGAAAGGGTGAGTTTTTAGCATTTTACAAGAAAAAATCTAATAGTAAAATTTTAATTTTATACCGGCGTAAGAAGGTACAAACTTTTGATCTAAGCTTTTGAGGCAGAACTAGTGTTTCTTTTTTTGAAAACTTAAATCGCGGAATTGTTCCTTCACAGGCCTAAACCTCCTAAAAATGGAGACTTGTTCGTCGCCCGCAACTTTGGAGGCTGTTCTTCCAACACTAGCATCCAGAGGCTGGTGTTTCAACGATATCGATCAAGTCAAGTCACTGATTTCAGCCGAATCTTGCTCTGTCACCATTGATTCAGTCGAATCAGAGCTTATCAAATTGGACTTTCGATCTATAGGCGGCAAAACGTTACCTGACCCTTCTTCTATTCGAAGAGTTTCTCATCTTCAGGGTCCTAAAGTCCTTCAAGTACTTCGTTTTCTCTTAAGCTGTGTTTTATTTTATTGTATGGAAGTAATTAAGGTCATTCGTTTATTATCATTGAAGTGATCGATATCTTGATAATGTATGTAGTTATTTATCTGACCTTAACAAACCTTTAATTTATGATTGATTTGAACTCCGGAATGATGTTGGAATTTTGGATTCTTAGTTGCTTTTACAAGTTTCTGGGCCAAACTTTTCTGCATATGACTTTCATAGGTGACTATGTTTCCACCAAAATGGATGACATAGATTTAGACCGGACTGTAGAAACTTCCAAGTTGTGATGTGATGCTTAGATCAGAAACTTCCAAGTTGGGATTAATATATTTCTTATCATTCTGAAATGTGTTGCAAATTTGCAATTGGCTCTTGATAATGGATTCTTTGGTTGAAATGTGGGTGAATCAACTACATTTGAAAACAAAGCTATGTTTTACTAGCCTGTCATGGTGTATTCCGGTGGTAGTAAGTGGAGAGGATTGTAAGAATTATTGTGAGTTTGATTCTATGGAGGAGCAGATTTTTCTAAGAGGTGATGTAATTCCGGAGGGGCTGCCTTTTCCTTAGAGGCGATGTAATTACTTTGGCAAGGTTCACCATTTGGAGCACACACCTTGTATACCATCTAGAATCAAACTCAAATGTAACTACCTATGAGTGTGAGTGGTGGTTCATAGGTCCCAGGATTAGTTGGGCGAAGCCCAATATATGAGTTGTGTGGAAAAAAGTTACTCCATTTATCCATAAAAGAAGTTCTGGATGTGCCTTACAATGTTTGAAAGAAATCATTTTCAATTCAATTTATTTGAAAATTGGCTTAGAATAAAAAAACAAAATTATCATATTTAAATACTACATCCACAATTCTACAAAACAAGATGTGACATGACTATAAATAGTGAACCAAAAGTACGGAGGGAGTCTGTTTTACTATTTCTACTTAAATTGTTTCACTATTCCTTGCTTCTTAAGGTATTAGAATCCAATCTGGCTTCAATTACAACTAGAACCCCTTTAGTCATAGTAAAAATGATTTGAATGCTAATAGTAGAAAATATGCTATAAGTTTTAGTGTGATATAAAATAAGGGTTCACAAAAACTAGGTGTTAATGGTCTTAAACTGTTGCAGTTTTCATCAGTTCATCACCTCCCATGGGATTTTCTGTGACTGGCTTTCTTACTTTTTATACTAGTTTATGCTCTGTGGTAAATGGAATTAAGAAAAAGAGTTGTACTCGCTCAGGAGGTGTTGGGGGTTTCTAAGAGACACTCTGGCGGACATAAAGGAGATTCATGTTGAGATCAGGAGGTCCAAAGGAAAGTGGAAGCTAAGAAAGTGGTTTACCTGAAACTCATTGAAATTAGCAATGAGAAGGAGAATATGGAGAATGGGGAAGGGTATGAGTTGGCAAAGAAGGAAGCTAATTTATCAGGTAATGGTGGCGAAGAATGCAACATTTGAACTCCTGGACAAGGCCTTGGGGGTGAAATGTGGGAACCAAAGATTGTTCAAGTTGGCCAAGGTGAGGGAGCAGTAGGCACACAATTTAGACCAAGTGAAGTGGATTAAGAATGAGGATGGTAGAGTTTGATGGGAGATATAGGGATTAGATGTCACTAGCAGTATTGCTTCCATAGACTATTGGATGGAGAAGGTGGGGGGCAATTTGTATTAGGTGATCTGGAGGGCACAACGAGTCATCAAGATTTTGGTTATTGTCCGGTGTTTTAAGGTAGAGGAAGTGAAATTGGCCATTAGTAAGACGAGGAGAGAAAGAGTGTTAGGGCCAGAAGAAATACTCGTGAAGTTTTGGAAGAGCATAGACAAAGCAGGAAAGTGAGGAAATAATTGGTTAACAAGGTTGATTAATGCCATTTTAAAACGGCTAACATGTCAGAGGAATGGAGGTTGAGTCTCATGGTTCCACTGTACAACCACAAGGGCAATATCTAGAATTGTAGCAACTATAGGGGTATGAAGTTACTAAGTTATACAGTTAAGATTTGAGTGAGGCTGACTGAGATGAGGATGAGGAAAAAGGTGACTATATCCGAGAATCAACTTGGGTTCATGTCGGGACCTTTGACTACTGGAGCCATTCACCTTGTGAGGAGTTTGATGGAGCTTTATAGGGCAAAAAAGAGAAACATGCCCATGGTATTTATTTACCTTGAAACGGCATATGAATGAGTTCCTCGTGAGGCGTTATTGAGCTTCTTAGATATAGAAGTGTGCCTATGACATACATTCTGCCATTCTGGTGATTAAGGACATGTATGATGGTGCCAAGGCTCAAGCGAGGATGCTTGGAGGGCACTTAGATCACTTGTTTGTTGAGACGGGGTTACATAAAGATTCTGTTCTCAGTCATTTTTATTTGCCACGGTGATGGATGAGTGGACACAGCATATCCAAGAGAGGTTACCTTGGTCTATGTTGTTTGTGGATGATATAGTGCTGGTTGGTGAAACTAGAGGTGGAGTTAATGTCAGGTTGGAGGTTTGGAGGCAATCCTTGAAATTGAAGGTGAGAGTTAGACAGAATATATGATGTGCAAATTCAGTGACGTCTCAATCGAGTCGAGTGTGGAAGTGAAGCTTGATTCACTACCCATCCCCAAGAAGGATAACTTTAGGTACTTTGGATCATTTATTCAGGGTAGTGAGAAGATTGCTTCTATGGTCTTGTGCAACAAGCAAGTGTCACTGATGCTAAAGGTTAAGTTCTATAAGATGATGGTTTGATTGAAATTGTTGTATGATGATAATGTTGACCAGTTCCTGCATGTTCAAAGGATGAAGGTGACTAAGATGAGGATCCTAGGGTGGATGTGCCGGCATACTAGGATGTGTAGGATATGAAATGAGTATATATGTGATAAGGTGGGAGTGGCCCCTGTGGATTACAGGGTGCACGACTTGAGATTAAGATGGTTCGATCACATGAAGAGCAGTACCGATGCACCGGTGAAAATGTATCTTTTTGGAAACAGCCTCTCTACCTTCCTAGGTAGGGTAAGGTCTGCATACATCTACCCTCCCCAGACCCCTTTCATGGGATTCCACTGGGTTGTTGTAATTGTGCTCTCTGTCCCAAAAGACCTTGCCCATTTCCCTTTTTGGTCCGTCCCTAGAAGATGTGCATCAGTGCATGTTTTTATATTTGGATAGTTTTATGTGGTTCACAGTTTTTTTCTCTCTTTATATAAATTTTAATCACACGAGTTTAAACTGGGGATATCCTTTTGGGAACGAAGGAGTATGTTTTCCATGGTATACAGTTCTATACTATACACGTTGATGACTTGTTACACATTTTCTGCTTATCTATTATTTTCCTAATGTATGCCAACTTTTTTAGATCTCTTCTGTCCGAGATATATCTTGCAGCAAAATGACCGAGAGTTCAGGAATTTCAAAAAGTCGACGTCTTTTACGGTTGAAGCTCACTGATGGGCACCATGAAGTAACAGCAATAGAATACTCTTACATATCTTCAATTCCTGAAGATGTTATACCCGGCACCAAGGTATGTTGTATTTTAAATTTAAATTAGGCTATGGCATCTTGGATTGTGATTTTTTTGAAGGAATCTTGGCTTGTGATTTACTTCATGTTAGAAATTTCTTTTTTAGCATAAAGTCCTTATCACTTTCAAAATGCTTGTATGTTACTTCATATTATTCATGTGATTATATATTGATCATATGTGTGCTTGTTTTGTCATCTACACTTGTATCATTTGCTAGGTTTTTTCATGACATACCAACACGTGTTTGTTCAACTGAACTATATTCAAATACATTTGGTAACTCCAATATGAAGAATTAGTACTGATTGAAATGAATTGCTAGCAGACTAAGTTACTTTTCTACTTACGACATGATAACTTCTGGGAAATGTTTTGCACTCTTTTCAGTTTTATCATTCTAACTATTTGTAGAACAATTTGGGTACCCCTAATCTTATAATAGTCAATTTAATAGAATATCTATAGGAATATTTCTTGTTATTTCAGATCTTTACAAGAAGCCTATTTATAGGAAAATACAATTATGGCATGATGACATATGTGATGATGTCATCATGACTGAAGCAGTGACCTAAACCATAATGTCACCAAATGAATGCAAAAACCTGGTGTTCTCTAAAGCTAGCTTATTTTTACACAATAAAAATCACTTGTCTTTCTTCTAACTCGTTATTGTGTGTGCAGTGTAGTGTGTAGCTAGGCACCATAACTTCTTTGTGATATCTGTTCATGACAGGTCCGTTTGGAAAACAAAATTGCAGTGCGTGGCGGTATTCTGTGTTTAAATGCAAAAACAGTTACCGTTTTAGGTGGGTTCGTTGAGTCACTTTATGATGAGTGGCAAATGAACAAAAAATATTCAGGTCTCCCACGTTCATCATTGAGAAAGTTGCAGGAAGATGCCTCTTGTGGTCCTCCGCCTTTTGAAAAGCTGCAAGTGGGAGCGTATCGCAAGAGCAAACACCATGCTCAGCTAAAGACTGGTTCTGGTTAGTGTTATAATACTAGTCTGTTAGAGTGTTTGTTAGACACACATTAGCACTTACTGTACAAATGCTATCTGTTATTAGTGTGGACGTGCAAGCACATGTGCATTATGAATCCAACAAACCATGTTTCTGTGTGTGGGTGTGCGTGTCTCACCTTGTTTCTAGAGTTAGATTGATTGTAATGTGATGTAATTTTCCCTATATTCTCCTGGAAGGAAGTAATTAGACAGGCGCCAGGTGGTAGTTTCTGCATTTGTGTGCTTTGTATGCTGGGTGCTCCCTGCTTGCAGTGCTTTTCCTTCGTTAGCATTAGTTTGCTCTTTGCCTATGTGTGCTTTGTGCTTTCTATGCTCTATGTGTCCTATGTAATCTTGTATTACCTATGCTACTTGAGCCGGGGGTCTCTTGGAAACAGCCTCTCTACTTTCGAGTAGGGCAAAGTCTGTGTACATACACACCCTCCCCAGAGCCTACTCTTGTGGGATTCAACAAGGTTGTTGTTGTTCTCTTGAACTCATTTTGGTCTGATTTTTGTGTACCTAGTTTGATTATTGTCCCATGGGGTCGCACACACACACACACGCACAGACTCAGTCTCACGCACCCACTCATTTACACATGACTGCTTATGGTTTTGCTAAAGCATTTAAAGCATCTTTGCTGAGCCAAGTAGTGAAGTATTTGTCATGCAGAGTCCTCCATGTCATCAACTAAAAGCCCAGTATTAATGCCTGCTGTAAAAGATGGTAGCTCTACAATGCATAATGATTCAAGGCATGACACTTTGGGTGATGATAAGAAGCAATCTAATTCGGAAATAGATGAAGCGACTACCAGTTCCGAAGCGAGACCAAAAGAAGGTTTGCCTTTTTTTATCACTTGGGCATTGCTAGTTATCTTTTCTATTTTTCAAAACACAGAAGGGAGACTTTGTGACTAAACTCTTGTATTGAAAGTATTAAATTGGTGTTTTATGACAAGGAAAGAAAAGATATGTATGTCCATCATATGAATAAACTAAGAAACTATTATAATTTCAATTATTTTCCATCTTACTTTTATGTACGTAGTATATACATTTGACACTAAACGTCCTAAAGCTTTTAGCCTTAAAAAATTATTTAAGCACTTAATGTCCACTAAAGGGAGTGTTGCTCGATCTTTGACAGTGGCCGAGTCTTTCCCTGTTAACAATCAAGCTGCTTCTCAAAAACTCCTCCAGAAAATGAGCCAGCCTTTCGGGGATAATCGTCGTACAAGGGGTCAAAGACATAGGGGGAAAGATAAACATGAAGAATCACATCTCCTTACTCTTGATGAATGGGAAAGGAGTAAAATGGGCAACTTTTCAGGATCTCAAAAGCTTTCTAGTTTTAGCCAGGATGAGGATCTTGCAAGGCAGCTTCAAGAGCAGTTTGATTTGGAAGATGTCCATGTAAGATGGTTTTTTGTGCAACCATTTTTTATCTGCCAAACTTTGATTGGCTGTAAATTGTGCCAAAAATAGAATGTACAACCAAATTAATGCTTGATTGGCACTGTTAATTCCACACACACATGCATGATACATGCACATACACATACATAGATACATATGTGTGTGCTTGTGTGTGTGAGAGAGATTGTGTGTATCCGTCCTTATACATCGTATATTGTACATTACTGGTGGCATCTTATCCATGGTAAGAGGGCATTGCACACATGGAAAATTTGTCACCTTAAAAGTATGATCATGTCAGTTACACCCTATGCTCAAATTTGCATCTCTGTGAGCTATGTACACTGATATTATGTAGGTACTAGTAATAGAATAGATTCTGTTTTTAGTTACAGATTTTCATGGCAATCTGGATATGGTAACTGATTTGGCATCACTATTTAATTTTTAGGCACAGAAAGATTCTGGCATCTCTGAGGCAGAAACTATAAGATTGAGCATGTTCAGATTTGACAGAGAGGATTCCAGACCTCATGGCACAATGGGGTTTAGAGGAAGAGGAAGGGCAAGGGGACGTGGAAGGAGGGGAGGAGGAAGGAGAACTTGATTAGTAGAGAGTGTTTTGTATTGCATTTCCTTGCAGTTTTATTTTCCTTTTTCCTGTGTGAAGCATATTACCCTTCACTTGGCTAATAGCAGGTTAGATTAGTGTGCGAGCAATTTGGCCGAAACGCTAAAAAACGAGTAGGGTCTTTATGCCAAAAAATGGAGGATGTTCTGCATTTCTCAACTTTCATTTATCAAAACGGCATTGGACTGTTTTTTACTCCGTATCAATTACATAGGGTAAGGGATCCCAAGTCCCAAAAATATCATCTCCCCCTTCTACCCTTCAGATGCTGCCGCATAGCACAAAAATATGGTCCCACTTCATTGTTGTGTGATGTGGCAGCATCTCGAGAGTGGGACATGAGGGTGAGATGGTATTTTTGGGACAGATGATCTACTCTCTACATAGAGCAACATGTAATAATACTCCGTAATAATTTATGGGAATCAAATACAGAAATGGTGTTTTCACCCTAAGGTCGACTCCGAAGTTGCCCAATCCCATTTTCCCTCTCATTGATATGTACAAACACACGAAGCAGAACCTCTAAAAATAAAGGTAATCTATTGTCATGTGCCTACTAATCGTGACAGGTCTCCTCTAAAGAAGACAAAGCCAGAGCTGCAATGGCGTGTAAAGTTGATCGGCAATGTCCGGTGAAGGAACACATAACAGTAACTGAACTCCCCCAGGTAACACCCGTTTGCTGCACATGCAACTTCAATGCTACTTTTGGCTTCTCTAGCTATGTGGAAAAGGGAAAGAAAAGAGTGGGCAAGGATTTCAAGATTTGAATCCTAGGAGAAAGTAGAGTACTCTTTAGTATATTTTGGGGGACATGATAGATTGTGATTCTTGAAAGTAAGATGAAATGAAGACCAGGTTATCTGAGCGTTATATGTTGAGTTAAACTTGGACTTAGGCTATGGGGGTATGGTTGCCGAAGGGAAGGTTGGGGTGGTTGGGAATGAGGAGGGAGAAGGGAGAGAGAAAAAGAGGGGTGTAATTGGGAAGAAGAAGAAGGGAGAGGGAGAGCTAAAATCCAAAAAAAAGGAGAGGAAGAAAGGAAACATGAGCAGCAAGACAGGTGTTCCTGCGGGCGGGGGGAGAGTGTTCCCACAATGTTCTCAATGCATAATACCACATATTCCTGTATATAATGCCACAGATCTACATATACAATGCCATAGTTTCTCATGTAGTCATATACAATGTCATGGTTGCCCATATACAATGCCACCGTTTCCCATATATAATGCCACAGTTTCCCATATATAATGTCACAGTTCCAAACCCAACCATACCACTACCCTGCAATACTAATGACCATCACTTGTTTTACGGCCCCCTTTATGGTGGCCGAAAGACCAACCATCCAAGGTGCTGATCGACAAAGGCCACCAACTTGAAGGCTAAGCTTGAGAGACATCCAAGCTTTGATAATAGCCACCCACAAATTGCCCTTTATGGCAAAAGCTTGAGAGACATCCAAGCTTTGATAATATGGTGGATAATAGCCTCAAAGTCTGGTCTCATAGCCATCCACAAACTGCCCTTTATGGTGGATAATAGCCACAAACTTGAAGGCCTTTAAGGCCAAGCTTTGAGACCAGGTTTGTGGATAGCCTCAAAGCCATCCAAGATCAAGCTCAACAATAGCCCTTCCCATCCAAGGTGTTGATCGACAAAGGCCACCAACTTTAGCAAAAAACAACCCTAGTGTCATCGGACAAAACACTCCAATAATGGCAAAAACACTTTGAAGTACTGCAAGACCTCAAAACCAGTAGCTCCAAAGCTGCATTCTCCTCAATGGTTCTCACCAAAAGTCCAAAGTAGTGAGCAAGGACTTGTACAAAAACAACAAACAAGTTCCTTCACATCTTCAAAGAGACTCAACCCCAAAAGCCTTCCCATCTTCTTGAATTTAATTAGTTGCATGGTTCTAGAAAAATTCATACATCACTCAAACAACACTTCAAACAGCCATAGCCTCAAACCAGAAGTTCAAGCCCAAACCCAAAACAAGAACAAAAATGAAACCGAAGAACATGTACAACAACCCAATCAGGGAAATCATCCTTTAAATGAAGTGAAAGGCCCCTAAACAATACCCCCAAAACACCAAAAGCTTGAAGGAGACGAAGCATGAACCTTGGTAGAACGAATCTCAGGCTTCCAATGTGATTAGTGATGTCGAGACCCAAATCAGGCTACATTGTATGAATCTTTGTTGGAATAGCAAACCAACTTTTGATTCTCAATTAGCATCTCTAGCCGCTCCTAATCTCTCAATCTTGGCCTTCAATTTGGACGAAATCGCAGTGAATCCGCCGTGTAAGATTTCCGATTGAATAGTAAGCTCGTGGATTTTAATGTTCAATTTTGAGAATTTCAGTCACAAATCAACAAGGAAGAGCTTGAATTGATGATCCCTTGTTAAAGACGATTCCAAAGAACAGCAAGAACGATCAACAAATTCGAAGAGACCAAAGGAATCAAATGATCGAGAATGAAAGATGCTGCGCGTGAGATTTCTTATTTTTTGTCGATAATCACAGAAAGCCCAGCGCGTGGGATTAGTTTTAAAGAAAATAATTTTAGTCCTATTTCGGGTATAAAAAAATAGCACTCCTATTTTGGGAATATAAGCCATCTTTTAGTCCTATTAGAAGTGTTTTCTTTTGAGGGAATCCTTGAGAATGAAGTTTTTTTTATGAGTGCTTGCATTTGGGTGCATATTACTTTTGTAAACTTTCTCGTATTACAAAAAAAGTAGTGTATATTAGACATCTACCATAAAATTTTGAGGAATTTATTTAAATAGCACTAAAAATAATGACTTTTCCTAAAAGCATCACATGTGTTTTTCTTCCCAATGTAGCACTTTTAGTCATTATGCATTCGTCATTATTCAAGTTAATATTCGCCATCACATGACATTATGGACATTATTAAGTGCTATTTAGAAAATAAAACAATTTAAATACTATTTAGGGAAATAACTTAAGTTTTTATATGCAAATATTTCTAAGGTCCCGTTTGATACACGGAATTCAAACTATGGAATTGGAATTGAAGACTTCAATTCCAATTCTGGTGTTTGGTAGCACAAATGTTATGTGAATTTGGAATTGATAGTGCAAAAAATAAAATGGAATTGGTGGATCATGGAATTTCAATTCCAATTCCATTAATTCCATGTAGGAAAGTAACCCAAAAATTTTCGTTTTTTCATCTCACAAACTCTTCGCAGTGGTCACTAATATCTCGCATTTGAATTTGGACAGTGCTAAGGTCTCTCCCGGCGGCGAAAACAACCAGGACCAGGCGAAACGAATCAAACGATGGAAAACCTCCCTGTTCAGTCGATTGTCGCCGTGATAATTTCTACGCTGATCTCCTCAGGAGCTTACAGAAGAAAATCCCTGGACCTCTCCGGCGCTGTTGCCGGTTTCCTTGTCATGTCCATTCACCTCGCCGTCAATTATAGGTATGTGTATGTCTATAGCTAGCGCTTTTTACTATTTTTTTATAAATTCAATATGTTTTTCATGTAAGTATGTTCCACTTGATTTGATTGAGATTTGGAGCAATGCTTCTTGTGTTCTTCTTCACTTCTTCGAAGTTCACTAAACTGGGAGAGGAGAAAAAGAGGTTACTAGACGCTGAATTCAAGGAGGGAGGTCAACGTAATTGGTACTGCGACTATTTCTCCCACCAATATCTATCTCGCCTATATTTTTTTAGTGAAGTGAAATGTCATTTATCTGCGTTAATTATAGAAATTCTAGTGCAGGGAGGAAAAGAACTGGGGAAATGAGGACGCTTTTATTAAATCTTGGGAAAAATGTGTTTACAAATTACAACCAATTAGAAACATGTTGCTTTTAGTGAAGCTCGTTGAAAGGGATGGAGGGTTTATGGCAAATGTTGCTTTTAGTAAAGAAGGATGAACTCCATCTTCTAGACAAATGTTGCTTCTAGTGATGCATATTGAAAGGGACGAAGGGGGTTTCGTTTACCGTAACTTACTCCCTCCATCCCAATTTATATTGTTCTCTTTGAATGGTCAAAGATTAAGAAAGTGAAAATTATGTGGTTGAAGTTTGTACAAGGGAGAGACGACCAATTTGAACCACATAATGCTTTCTACAGTTAGAAGTGGGCAAGTCTTTCCATCATCTTTGATGGAGCCAAAGATTCACTACTTTTTGGATTTAGGGTATGATTGAATAAAGCAAAATGACTCTTTAAACTATTTGTGCTTCTTTTATAGTGAAATAGCAGTTAGTCAATGCAACTCTCGATGCTCATCATGGGTTATCTAGAAATAGCCGCTCTATGGTTTAAACACAGGTTGGAGCCTTTAAGGCACTGGGGTAATGTTGTTGTTGTTGTTAATTAGAAGCGGGCAAGATAAATTGAGACAGGTCAAAAAGGAAAACAAGAAGATGAAGTTGGACAAATGAATTAACTAGTACGCGGCTTTATCCCAAGTTCCTTACTCATTTTTTTTAATGTTTTGTGTGCATGTACTCTATACTTTACCATGTGGTTACAGTCACACATACTCTACTTAAAACCTTTTTATATGTTCTGCTAGTCACTCTTGATTGTTATCTTCCCCAAATCTTTGTTTTTTACAGGATTCAAGTTCTCTTCAACAGTGGCATTGCGACGGTCCTGGTCGTGATTGCTTGGAAGTTGATTGGTTCGCGTGACATGTGCCTTGACTCAAAACAGTCACAACTCATCACTTCTTTAATTGGTGGTATTATTGGTCACTATTGCTGTTGCAACGGGGACACCTGGTCTTCAGAGCTTGGGATTCTAAGTGACGATCAGCCTCGTCTAATTACAACATTCAGGGTAAATTAATCATACATTTGCATCTTTTTTTCCCATCAGACACCTTCAGAGTTACGAGTGTACACTATTAGTTTGATCTCCTCTATTTTAACCCCACTGATTGAAGTTGATAAACCCCTTTTGGTACTTATATGTTGATATGCCAGTATAGTTTTTAAAAGACTGCCTCGGCATAGCTAAGCTGGCTCTATGCGCAAGGGTTGATGCCCCTTTTGAAGCTGACTAAAAGTTTTCTAATCATGGGCTGGTTTAGGGTTAGGTTCTTCTTTTCCCCGAAACTAAATTTTCTCTAACTAAAAGGTCACACTCTCACATCTGTGTTGCCCACATAAGGGGAAGATAGAAACAACTCCCTGTCTGAGAGGCTTACACATGGAGATGAAGAAAAAACTTGTGTTTGATGATGAACAGATGAAGACGAAGGTGAACATGAAGAAGAATACAATGATGTGATTAAATTAACTGTGTTTTAATTTTATTATTGCAATTATGCTTGCTTTGTTAAAATGTGTGTTTTTATTGAGCATCTTGATTTAAAGCTCTTAAACTTCTACCTTTACTTTTTTAGGTTTTATTGTTGACGTGGATCTTGTTTTGTTGTCATTGTTAATTGATTATTTTTTTGTGATGGTTAATGGTTTATGTTTCTGCACTAATAATATGCATATGTTAGTGTTTGCCATTGTTTGCATCTCATGTTCAAGACATGCACACCTCAACTCAAGAAGACCATTTGCACCTTACTACACCTTGAACCGTTAACTGCTTTGTGAACTGATTAGAATCAATTTACTTAGACATCAAGAAGCTTCCCAACAAGTTATGGTGTAGCATATTCCACTCCTTCAAAACATTGATTAGTGTAGTGCAAGCTGTTGTAGGATAGATTTCCTAGAACTACCTATACATGTAAAATGTGTGCCGCAGCTTTCATTACTCTAACTCTGAGAAACAGCTTTGTATTTCTTTAGCATTCAATATGCAAACTGTAGCTTATTCCTTTGTGTATTATGTTCAGCCAGTAAAGAGGGGCACGAATGGTGGAGTGACGAGAGCTGGGCTTTTAGCAGCAGCAGCTGCAGGGAGTGTCATCGGATTAGCCTTTGTTCTCATTGGGTTTCTAACAGCAAAATGCACATACACTGTGGCTCTAAAGCAGCTACTGGTAGTACCACTCTCTGCTGTGGCTGGGCTCTGTGGAAGTCTCATAGATTCTTTACTCGGAGCAACTTTGCAGTTCAGTGGCTTCTGCACTGTTCGCAATAAGGTAATCATCTTTCACTCCGATTCGTATAGATAAGCCCAACCATCTAAATCTATTTTGCAGAAATATCATTGTGAAGTTATTTGTGCGGGGATTGCAGGTTGTTGGCAAACCAGGACCAACTGTGAAAAAAATATCTGGTCTTAGCGTTCTAGACAACAATGCCGTCAACCTTGTTTCTATACTGCTCACGGCAGCACTGTCTTCAACGGCCTGTTTATTCATATTCTGAAACCTATAACGTTGGAGCGATTTTCATTCCCATCTTGCCCAACAATGGATTTATAAAGGTTTGAGTCTAAGGGTTTGTAACGTCAAAACCGTCACACCATAAGGGATGGAACTGCAGCTGTTACAAAAAATCTCCGTCCTAAAAAAGTTGCATCACTTTGAGTTGGTCGTTATAACTTATAATGACACGCTTATTATGACAATGCAATAGTGTGATTATACTGCATCCGCCTTAAAATTTTTGGTCTTATAATATTTTCGTCTCTACATCAATTTTAAAATAACCTCAATTGAAGATAAATTGGATCAATCATCGTAAAATGAATTGTATTTTTTATTGAGATGGAGGGAGTATGGTCTTTCACTCTTTCATCGCCTAAAGGTGGAATAAATTTATTTAAACAAGCTCGGTACCAAGGTGGCCAAGTTTAGGCGCAACATTAGAGCAACTCCAAGGGTAGTGAAAAAAATGATAGTGTAACCCTTCTTTTACACTATGAACAGTGTTTTACACCTCCATTTTTTTATACTCACTCTAACCATTTTTATAATATTTTAGTATATATTTCATAGTTTAATTTTTAATCTTTACTAACAAATTTACAAATCTACAAAACAAAATCCATAATTGCATATCAAAAGCAATTTGTAGTCGCCGACATCAAAATGAAAAAAAAAAAAGAAAGCACAGCCGCATAGCTTGAAATGGCAGGTCTAGAAGTCTACAAGGAAAAAGAATTTAATTCATAAGGGCAATCACATCAAACTTTTTTATGCAAATCCAGATCTCCATAGTTGCAGGGGAGCAACGGAAAAGAATATTTGGCGATTGGCAAAGCAGAGAAGATAGCAGCGAACAGGTAGAACTTGATTTCCACTATCTACACGAGCATGTATATTTGGCATTCGAGAATGGAAAAATACACTCCCTTCTATTTTATACACTACTCGTTGGAGACTTAAATTTTGTACAGTAAATGCTAAACCTTCCATTTTTTAGACTTTACTCATTTTTGCACTACCCCTTGGAGTTGCGTTGCTCTTAGGGGAAGAAAAAGCTCAAACAATCAAACTCTCGAGTCTTGACCCATTTTTGTAAGTTTTCTTTCATATTGAAAACGAAAACTTTATTGATATACTTACAAATTACATTAAATATTTAAGAAACAAGATGTGACTTAATTATTTTATATATAAAAAATCGGTCCGGTTCCAGTGACACCGGAAAACGGTGCCACTCTGGTGAATGCATAATAGCCACACATTTTGTGGGGGAGTTACGGCGAGGTTGGGGTGGGGATAGGGTGGGGGGTTTAGGGGGTCGGTTAGGGGGTAGGAACCGTCAATTTTACGAACGAAGCACCGGAGGTGCTCCAAAAACCCAGTGGCACTGCTAGTGGCACCGTTCTTCGATGTCACTAGAACCACGCCGATAAAAAATTGAGTTAAAACATAATTAAGCATAATAAATTGGACAAAGTTACTACAAATTATTGATTTGGTCAAAATATAAATAAATATCATTTCTAATGGTCAAAATAATACTTCATCTGTCCTAAATTAATTCTCTTAGTTTGACTTTGCACAGAGTTTAAGAAAAATAAAATTGTATAGTTGAAACTGTTGAAGAAAAGAGAAATGGGGCTAAATTTTCTTTCAAATTAAAAAAATAGAGTAGGATGTTAGAAAAAACTAGATTGAGTTGGATATTATGGTGAAAACTAAAACATTATATACTTACAAATTACATTAAATGTTTAAAAAATAAGAGGTGACACAATTATTTTGTATTAGAAAAGTTGAGTTAATACTCTCTCCGTCCATTTTTAATGTTCGGACTTTGACTTGGCACGGAGATTAAGAAAGGTTAAATTTTACATTGACTTTCCAATTATGCCCTCCCCACTTTCCTCCCCACTATACGGTCACCCACTCCCTCAATGTCCTATCCGACATCTTCCATCGCCGGCATAGCCCCGCCGCCCAACCCTATCATCCAAAATCAGACATGTCCCGGCAATCCATCCCAGAAAATGAAGAATCCGAATAATATTCTAAGATTTGGGCCAAATCCGAAAATGAAGAATCCGAATAATATTCTAAGATCTAAGCCCTGACATCTTCCATCCCCTTCATAGATCTGAATTTTATTTCTAAGATCTGGGCCATATCTGAATAATCCGAAGAAGAAAATGAAGAATCCGAAGAAGAAGACGAAGAATCCGAAGGAGAAGACAACGAATCCGAAGAAGAAGAAGAATATGAAGAATAAGAAGAAGAATCCAAAAAAGAACAAGAAGAAGGAGGAGGAGGAGGAGGAGGAGGAAGAAGAGAAGAGAAAAGAAGGGAAGAGAGAAGAGGAACCTGATACAGAGCAAAAAAAGGACCGAAGTGGAGAAGGAAGGAAGAAAGAAGAAGGAAAGAATAAAAGAGAAGAAAAAAGAAGAAAAAAAGAGGTTGTGTGGGACTGGGGTGGAGTGTGGAGGAAAAGAAAAAAAGGAGGATAGAAATAAAGTAAGGGTAATTAGGTTTTTGATGTAAAAAATTTTACCAAAAAAGGAAACACGAACATTATTTATGGACGGACTAAAAAGAAAAGTACGAACATTAAAAATGGACGGAGGGAGTATACAATTAAGTATAAGCGATTAGACAACTTACCACAAAATATGGATTTGGTTGAAATATAAATAAATGCCATCTCTATTGGCCAAAATAATTAAAATGTAATTGGAGTATGTCAATTTACGAAAATCCATTTTGATGGAGGCTTGAGTCTTGCAACTCGGGTTAAAGGATGTTGTGCCAAGCACAATGCGTGAAGGGATGTGGGGAGTGTGTGGACATCTAGGAGTATTGACTTCTCCCGGTCGTCTACCTCATGGCCGACCTCTATGGTTAGTTGGATATCGGGTCAGTACAACCAGGTCATCTAAGACGACCGAAGTGGGTAGCTGGCCAACGTCATCATCCCCCAACAAGGAGTGCAATAAGTACAACAAGCGCTTTCCGACAAACATATTTGAGAGATGCCCCTAGTAGGACAATGCATGAGAGATCAAAACTAGAAGAACACACAAATATTACGCGACAAAGTGACATCAAATCATAGGCTATAATATAATCTTTCAACAAATAATGGGCCATATCATTGCTATAAAAATTGTAGGTTGTAATACAAATATCCCCTCTCCGCTCTCAAAATGCGTGATCGTAGAACTCTCTCTCTCGCTCTAAGCAATAGGAGCACTTCGGTTTTGTGCTTATATATATGTTACACTTTTCACTTATTTGTGATCTTACTCCATTTTGACCTCCTTAAGTTTGTTGTGTTTGGTGCTTTAATTTATTAACCATCAAGTTGGTGCACTCTAAGGTTAACTTCTATTTTTGACCAATGTAACTACAAGAAGCCCTAACAACAACAATAACAAAAAGAGCAACAGAAGCACCTCCCTCATGGAGGAGACTAGCCAAGCCGGTGGGCAATGTCATGCCACGACCACATTGGTGATTGTCAAGTAGCTAGCTGAGTGTGCCGTTGTTTTATTTCGAGCTTTAGGGTACCTGAGTAATTCTAAGGAGTCATTGTTGCCCTCATTGCTTTCACGGAAGGTGCAAACAAGAATGCTCTTGCACCCAAACCAACCACGAGTTCGACACAGACGGTCACCATAGTGAATGTAGCGATTTGCACAGGAACGCTACATACATGACCCACAAAAAGAAAACCTCTATGGCTCCCTAGGTGGACCACGTGGAGGTGGAAACCATGCATGAAGAGGAAGAGCCTAACCAACACTAGGTCTCCACATTCTAATGGTCATGCCTCGCATGTCTAACGAGATCACATGTTGTTTCTTCTTTGTCGCGTTGCAGTGGCACATTTACGTCAAGTTTAACAAGCTAAATACAAAAGGGCTACATCAATGAATGAACAAATTAGCCACGAGATTCTTGGACCACTTTGTGCACTCGAACGCCAAGAACATCCCTACTCGCACCTCTTTAGCCTAAGAATCCACAAGGGGGTGAAGTCGAGGGACTTTGTATCTCGATGGGAGAAGAAAGCCATCAACACCCACAGGACGGGCATCATCATGTTCCACACTACTTTACCCCGCAGTGACCTCCGTATTTAGCTCTTGAGAAACCCTTAGGCCCTAGCAAACCAACTTGAAGACGATATCGGGTGCCAATTCGAATTCATTGCCTTTGAGGTGACAGAGGGTACCCCTCTAGAAGATGTTGGGTCCAACAAGAAGATCTCCACTCCCTTGGGTGAGTCACCAAAGAAGAACAAGAAGAAGAAGGAGGAGGAGGACAACACCGTTGGGCGATCATGTGACTTAACCTTCCACCAGAAGGGCAACCCGGTCAATATAGAGACCTTCACGGTGAGCAGATGCATGGATTAATTTGTGAGTACTATCGTAACAACACTGGCAATACAAAAAAACATATATTATGCTACATAAGAAGATCAGTTGCCTCATTTAACGGGGGCACGTCCATTTTGGAAACATTTCTTGTTTTTATTCTATTCTAGATATAGTAGCTTGTAAGCCAAAAGTTAGATTATTAAGCAAATAATCATTCAAGTTAGTAAAAAAATTAGTCATATTTTTCGGGTCGGTTTTAGGGCATTTCCTATTTCTAATTAATTTATTTCAATATTTGTGAAAACTCAAAAAATTACACTTTATATATTCCCTACATTCCATATATTTCTTCTCATTTTGACTTTGTTGTGAACGTTTTAAAACTTTGATAATAAATTATGAAAAATATATAGAATTGTGGAATAGGTATAATATCAATAGATTCACTTTGAAACATATGTTTGAAATGTCATATTTTTATAATCTATGTTTATATATAAATAAAGATGTAAATTATCAAAGTGTTATATTAGAAACCATAAAAACTCAAATGAGACGAAAGACATAGGCCGGAAGGAATATTTAAAAATCACATTAAAAATAATACTTGTATAAAATAAGATACAATTTAATAATGTTATTTAAAAAGATAATTAACAAGATAAGAAAAAAATATCATGAATACTGATTTAAAAAAAAGGGTAAAGTTGAGATTTTTGGCAAGGTGAAGTGGTTCGATTAACAATTCCATACTTAAGATTAGGGGTGGACACGGTATCGATACGGTACCGTGACCGGCAACG